CGCGTTGCACTTAATTATGATGTCACCTTGCAACATAACTATGTTAGTTGGTCAAGCGTGAGATTTTTTCATATGTGTAAAACAGGAGACTAACTGGTTTTCTTATTATTACCATTGTGACACCATGATCATATGTTCATCTTCCTTACTTGTGGTCTGCAACTGCTAGTTTGGTTGGAAAGTATCAACATCTTTGTTTCAAGTCAGAACTTTTGTCCTGTCTCTTTCTATTCTTCATTCCTCCATGGAATATATGTGACTACTGTCCTGAATGCTAAGCTTTGTTCACGTTATGTTGATACCAAAGTTACGTTATGTTACTGTCGATACCCAAGTTACTTTGCTTCTTGCAAAGTAGCATCTGGTTTATTATACTTGTTTTATTTTTTCAAAGGCAAAACTACTGATGTGTTGTACATTTTATATCCATTTAAAATTTACTCAAGAATTTGTTTTAATGTCAGTTCAAGTTTTATTTACATATTGAATAAGAGAATAATTGAATATCGATTTTGACATTATATATAACTCGGGACAGTTTTTAAGTCTTCTGTCTGCTTTGTAGGTAAGTGGATATTTGTACACAAAAAGTTTTGGAAAACAAGTAATAATGTTAGTTAGATAGCAGTCGTTCATAATCTATTATCAAAATTTGCAGTTGTGTTCAGATATAATTCAAACATAATTATTTATTTCAGCTATTAATTTGAATTACTTTGATTTTTTTTTATTAAAATACCATATTGGGATTACTGTTAACTCATTCAAAGACATTCTGGTTTGAATCATTCTGGTATATCAAGACATTCAAGAATTTTGGAATTAATTCAAAACATTCTTTACTTTGGACTACAATATTTTGAATTATTTTAGATTTAATTTACAATAAGGTAAGTGTCTCTTAAAGTTTCGTTTTCTAATTTAGAGAAATAATGTATTTGTTGATTATGCTAAACTTGTTGGTTTCGCTTCTTTCTGTTACATAGTTTAAACCGAGAGTTGTAACACTATAGACTATAAACAGAGTGGAGAATAATGGATGGCTGTCTGCTTTAAAAGACAATGCATATCACGTGATTAGATTAGTGCTACAGAAAGTCAATGTACGCACGCCAGGATTCTTGCTTGAGAAAATTGGTAACATACATTTTTCACTCATAAGATTTCATGTCTATGCATTTATTTGCCGTAATAAATGTTCCAGCCTAGGTAGTCGAATATGCCAAGGTAACTGGAATCAACATTCTAAATCTTGAATCTAGACAAAGCAAAGAAAATGTGCATTATTTTTCTTCATCTGTGATTTTCATCAAACTTTCTCTTAATGAAATAAAGAAAGGCTATTTAATATTTACATAAAATTACATGTTAAAACACTATGTAAGTATAACCCTACCTATTCAGAAAAGTGTAAATGACTTTTGTTTTTCCCCTAGTGTCAGCTTAATATTGTAGAATTATTAGAATCAGAATATTTCTTGTAGAGATGTTTTGTACACTAAGTACAAGTTTTCTAGACATTTTGTACACTAGGTACGAGTAGTCTAAGATTTGTAAACCGAGAAGGTAAACATTTGTATATTATGTCCAAATAGTCTATATGATGTCTGAATAGTATAATTTTGTAAACCATGTCTGAGTAACCTATTATTGTATACTACGTGCAAGTTAAGTTTTCTGAGTACGTCCGAGAAATTTATTTGAGTCTGAGTCAGGAACATTTGCATTTGCCAAATTCTATTATTAGTAACAGAATTTATACTATAAGCATTTGGAATCTTCTAGAACTAATGTCTCCATTAGGTAATAGTTTTGTTTTCAGAAACTGCTAAAATAGTAACCTAGGTCAGGTAGAGGAGTGAAAAATCTTGTTTACTGAAAACCTATTTATTCGTGACATATGACAAATTTTGGAATATATTATTGTGCTTCAACCACAAACTGTCTGCACATCTTCAAATTGCATGTTATTGCATGCACATAGACAATTACAGAGTTTAATTTATTTTTGAAACTTTATTTAAGAATTGTTCTAATGAATTAATTCGCAATACAGTAAAGTTCTTTTAGATTTCGTTTTGTATTTTATTGAAAAAAATTACGGTTTCATTTAAACTTTCACTATAAATTCAAGTCTCTATTTCCAAGAACGTTATTTTTAGCACTTAGTATTTCCCACAAATTACTTGAATTAAATATGTGTGTGTGTGTGTGAGAGAGAGAGAGAGAGAGAGAGATATTTGGAATTTTAACATAGCTTTTTTAATATTTCAGTCATATGGCTTCGATGTCTACAGTGCGGTAGTTAATGTGAAGTCTTGTACTGGAGCATCAGAACGCAGGCATGTAGAATCATATCCCACCCAGTCACTTTACCTGACACCAGGGCGACCAGTCCTGACGCTAACTTCTTAATGCTTTGTGCTTAGCAAGGCAGCTACTAGTATCAATTTTATAAGTCTTTGATATGACTTGACCGGGCTTCGAACACGCGACCTCACACATGCAAGGCTTTTATTACTTAGGCAACCGGAGCAGTTACTAGAATTAAATAATTTTAATACATATATTCTAGTAAGATCAAACACTGAACACAACAATATTGTAAAACAGATTCTTGCCAGATTTTAAAACGCGAAAAAATAATTTATTGTAACAAAATTAAGAGAATCTATGCTGGGGTTTGCACAGAGACAATGAAATACCAGTCAAGGGGTTACATTATATGTGTTCCAACGAGGCTCGCGGTACAAACACCTATAGATTTTTCTCCCCACCGTTTTTCCAGTAGCTCATTAAATTGCATGGTCATTAAATCAAGATACAAATACCTATTTCGTTTTACAAGAAGTATTTAAAACCGTTTAGATACTTTTAGCTATAGTCAGTGACGCTGACCTGAAAGTTTACTAAGATTGAATATAATTCGCCATGAGTTTCTAGTCTAGCATAATACGAAATAAATCAATTTCGTGTTCTTGTCTGTCTGCCACTCTCAAAATGTTTTGTATGGTGTGTTATCAAAGTTTTTAGAGACCTGAAGCCGCATTATGAGTGAATTCTTTTTTGATGTATCTCTGTTATCATTGTTCTTTGATTTTATAAAAGCTTCGTCAGGCACAATAAAAGACAGCAAAGGTTTCTTATTTTTAAAAGTAGTTACTAGCGCTCTGGCACAATGACTGAAACTATCTGACTCAGACAACCAGATTGAGACATAAAATGTAAGCTTAGCAAAACAGCAATATTTATCTGTCGCATTGATAAGATAATTTATTCCTCTACCTGATCTCGTATCACAATTAGCATTTTATAAACAATAAATATTATCTAATGCAAAATTTCAGCCTTAAGTGTTTTGAGGGTAATTTTTAGATAACATATTGTATATAATTAAGTCTTTTACTAAAATTATAAAAATAGAACACGAAAAACACGTCTTTGACTCGTATAAAAAAAAACATTTTTTCTTTTATTGATAATAATCTTAATGTTAAACTCATACTCAGAAAATATTAGCTTTGTTTGCAGAATGATAACAAATATTCAACGATTACGGTCAGGTAGAAAATGATCTTGAATTTGGACAAGATCAGTGGTCCAAAATACAATTATCCATAGAATACAAAGAAATTGAAAATAATAATCAACAAACAATTTAATTTAAATATACATAACACGAAACATTCACTCTCATTAAGCTGTATAGCGACAAAAGAAAGCCCACAACACACCGTTGTTACTCTGTACATGAACAAAACACATAGACAAAAAAATCCCAAAACACACCGTCCTTACACTGTGCATGGACAAAAAGCATAAACACTGTCAATATACTGTCAATATAAGTCTATAATGAATATTAAATGTAAACAATAACAGTCGGAAAGCACAGACAGATATTATGGGATGCCGATACCACCCCATAAAATCAAATTTAGCGCAAAACAAGCAAAACCTTTCACAGAGTAAGTTTTTCTTATAGTCTGGTGATTTAAAATATGAATAGGAAACGCTTAAAATGCGTCGCAAAAACTCCTCGGCCTCTTGTTCAGTCCCATTACTCCTATACATATCACTGATGGAGCGTGATAACAGAATTAAAAAAAAAAAAGGGTTTTCCAGGGGTGGACAAGTACAATTACCGAACTGTAGTGGACGAGCCTTTAAGATAGATGCAAGATGTGAAATACAGAATACCTGTTTACTTGCTACCTGTGATGTAATGATATTTGATACATCTATTAAAACCTAGCTAGTCGTCAATTAATAAATTGAATTTAATTAGGTATCAACTTAAATAATGAATGTGATATATGTGGAGATATCATTAAATTATATGATTTACAATTTTATTTTGACAGGGTGAAAGCATGAAACAAGATATCTGAAATCATCCCTAATTTTCTAGTCATAATGTACGTTATAGGATAGCGTTCATGTGGCATTCTCAAAACGCTTGCCATATAATAAGCAATTTAAGACGTAATATCTGTAAATTATCAATTATCCACGCAACCATGGGTAAAACTATTTTCGTTGACGAAAATTGTTGACAAAATATAAAGGAAGAGCTTCAAAAATATAATGGAATCCTTTTGCGACACTGGATAAATGCTAATTCAAAATACAGTCTACATTACAAAGTACAATCTACATTACTTGTAGAAGTAAACTCAACCCAACCTCAACATGTGCATTTCATAAATGCACCTAAATCTGCAGTTACTTAGAACATTTTTCAAAAAAAAGCCAGACAATGGTTTCTAAATTTTTTCATTTCAATCTCTGTAATTTTGTGAATCTGTTCAGATTGCAGTCACGGACTAGATTTGTCAGACCTATGAACTATTATCTAATAGAAACCTAAGAATTGCAAATTGTTATGAAGTGTGCCCCATTACCGCTTGGACCCCAGGAATTTAGCCTAACTTCTCCGACCGTCTCAGCGGCCCTGTAAGATAACTTACTATTAATCTATGTATTAAACAGGATTGGTATGACTTGATCGAGGATCGAACTCGCAACCTCCCGCATCCGAGGCGGACACTCTAACCACTAGGCCATCGGAGCGGTTGTTTGAAAAGATAACTTACTATCAATTTATGTATGAAACAGGATTAGTAACCGGAATCTCTGTTTGGGATATTTTATAAGCACACAATAAAATGATGTTTTAACCAAATTGGGTGTTTTTCTTTGAATGGTCAAGAGTCGAGGTAGATCATTTGGTAGAGTCAAATTTGTAATCCATAGGTCCCAAGTTGGATTCCAGGCGAGCCCAGCTGTACCCTTTGGAAAGGCATTTAGCTCTGTGTTCCTTGCTATGATTTTTGTGTTAAATATATTTTCAGTCAACATCCAATCACTAGTCAACAAAATGAAACTTGTTTGCATTACCCTTGTTTACCTTGTATCTTACAAGGATGTGCAATCACAGTTTTGCAAGATAAAAATAAATAACTGCGTTCGTCATTCCCATACTGATTTCAGCATCACTAAACAGAAGCAATTCTTTAACATATTTTAGTTAATCATCTTCATTTTTATTTCCTTCCGTAGAAGATTACATGGTATAATAATCAAGTATAAAAAAATATTTGATTACAATTATAAAACTTTCATATAAAATAAATACACAATGAAGAAGCAAATTCTAAAAAGCAGTAAAATTGGTTTTTCCTTCAAGAAAAAATACAATTGATACATGTTAAAATAAATTCAAACTACACTTATCAGCCATTCTTTGATATGCGTTGTTCGTGGAAGTAAATAAATCCGAATTTGTAAAGGGCCAGGATATTGCAGCACCCAATGTGTTGAAGAAATTAAGAAACTAAATATTATAAATGAATATAAACAAAAGAAACTAACAAATCGATAAAGTGGAATGGATCACAAAAGACACATGTTTATTTTTTGGTTCAAAATGGGGTCCTTATAAGAAAATGATGACCACAGGCTCTGCCGATGACAATTGGACAGTGAGCAATGCAATTGTTGTTCCTAAGTTATACCAACAGTAAATCATTAATACAACCCATGAAACTCATTTGACTGGTCATTTTGGGATCAGTACGAGTTATCACAAGATTTTGAATCATTTTATTGATCGAAAATTAAAAGTAATATCTGGAGATACTGTAGATCTTGTCAGACGTGTCAAATGGTAGGAAAAGCCAATCAGACGATACCTAAAACTCATTTTCAAATTTGAACAAACAATTCACGAACCAACCCATTTAGTAGAATAAACAGTCGTAAAGAAAAGAGTGAAATAAAACAGCTATTATTTGAATATGAGTTCTTATTTCTAGATGTTCCAGCACGAATGACTAAAACCTACCATGACGTTGAAAATTGTAGATTCCACACCTTTGAAACAGCATCCTACACGATTAGCCCTCTCAAACACGGATGTTTTGAAAAAGAAATACAGTATTTGACTGGAGTTCACCATATCTTCCAGTGCCAAAACAAGATAATACCGTCCACATTTTTACCGACTAAAAAATGTTGAATATAATCACTAAAGGGATTCACTTGCAATGCCGAGAATCGATGACTGCATTGACAAAATTGGACATTCAAAATATGTCGCTAAGTTTGACCGCTTGAAAGGATTCAGACATATTCCACTGAAGGGAGAGAACATAGGAAAGTTCGGCATTCTTACACTAGATTGAATTCATTTAAATAAAGCGACGCTGTTTAGGATGAAATGTTTGCCTTGTACTTTTCAACATTCAATGAACATGACTACATCTGGTCTTGTTAATTGTGACACTTACATCAATTTTGTCACCATCTACAATGACACCTGGAAAAAATCCCCTATTGAGGACTCAGAAAAATGTTTTCATAAACTCACCCATGCAACTTGGACATTATTGTATACAAACGTGAGCTCTGTCGTGGTTGTGTACATTTTAGGATATATTGTTGGACATGCACACATTAATCTATAGAAGCTAAGGGCAAGGCAATATATTGTTTTCTATCAATATAAAGCATCTGATGCGACCTTTAGGTATAGATGAATTTTTTCTTTTTCGTTATGAGTGGAGTTGTTATGTATGTTTATGTTTTCATTCTTCGTTAGTAAGATTTAATTTTTAATTTCGTTATATGTTATTGTAATGTAACATTGTACATTGGACTTGTCTAGAGTAATTTTCATTTTCTACTTCACCTGAATTATTGATTTGTTTTTCATTCTGCAAACAATAGATAGCTAAACTTGTGTATGGGATTAATATTACGATTATTACCAATGGAAATAAACATGTTTATATGTGTATGGAACTTGGTTATTGTAATTCCAGTACAAATATACCTGGCGTATCTGACTATATTCAGGTTATGTATTGAAATTTTAGTAACAGACCGTCTAATTAAAGTTAACATTTTATTTTGCAATCATTGAAAACCTTCCAGGCTAAAATTTTCCATTAGGTAATAGTTTTATAATGAAATACTAAGTGGTAAAACAGTATAGTATAATCTTTTTTATGGACAAAATATTAATTCGTGCTAAAAGATAAAAGATTAATCAACTTCATTACTGCTGCGTCCTTAATTTATATCTGCTATAATTTATTATTATTAAATTGAAGTGATTCTTCTCAGGAAATGCAAAGTGCTCTTCAAAATAAAATTCTGCGAAATATAGACTTGGATATATACTGAAACTTCAATTAAGGATAAATTTTTGGATTCTACTATTGTGATCCAACAAAAGACTGTTGGTACAGTGGCAGTTTACTGGCCACCACAGACGTATCAACACCTTCAGTGTTTGATTTGATCTGGATTTCTACAAAAGTTTGTTCAGAACTTTCATTATTAGGGCTTGTGTATATTGTTCTGGTATTATATTGGAGTTAATTAGCAACACCGTAAGTTCCTGACTTTTACACTTTCACTGTGTATTTCAGGGCCTGCCGAGTCATACAAAAGACTTTCAAAAAAGGTACTAACAGCTGTCTCGCTTGGCGCTCAGCATTAAGATGTTAGTGTTAGGACTGGTCGGACTGGTGTCAGGATAATGTTACTGGGTGGGACATCATTCCACATGTCTGTGGAATGATGCCCCAGTGCTAGACATCACTATAAGACTGTCACACTGTAGACATCGTAGTGATATGACTGAAACAAATTGTTAAAACTTCGTTGAAAATCTAAATCACACATACACACGCACACACTTGTATAATAAAGATATACGTTGTTTGTTGACATTTACAAAGCTTGATGCTTTTCAATCTTTTATGTTACTTATATTAAGACTTTTATTATAAAAAAACATAGTTATAATTTCAAGTCATGAAGTAGTAAAAAAACATAACAAACATATATATATATATATATATATATATATATATATATATATATATATATATATATATATATATATATATATATATATATATATATATATATAAGATGAGAATTATTGCAATAAATGGAAATCTAATTCTGAGATTAGATATTTGCTCAGTTATGTGGAAAATTTTCCGATTTTGTATTAACTAGGTTCTGTGGAATATTCCAAGCATTGGACAACGATAGTCTAACAACTGCCAATGTAAAATACAAGTCTTTCCATAGTGAACTGCATTGTCATATCTGGCTTGCTAAAATTTGCTATAGTTCTCAACATATATTTTTCTGAATAATTTAGTCTGTGTTAAACAAAATTTCTCTATTTTGGTTAGGAATGTCCATAAAGTCAACCCATCGTTTTAAAAATGATGATGTACACGCAGGCACGTACACACACAAAAGCATACACAACATTTGTTATAATAGTTCTCAAGTTATCGCATTTGCTTAGTTCTTTTAAGAAATACCTAGGATTATTGTAATATCCATTATTTTTCGGCACCTTCGTTATGGCGTTGGGACTCAGCCTCTAGATGCATTAGCGATCGGAGTCAGTTTCAAGATGTAATGGCAGTGGGAGTCAGTCTCTACATGAAATGGCGTCTGCGTGTTTTGTAAAATCTGCTGTTATACAGGATTTTGTTGTTAAAGTAAATATCACGATTTACCTTTCGCAGTTTGGCATTTTTAAATTATTCTCTCCAGGAATGTTAAAATATGATTATCGACCCAAATAGGTAACAGCAAATTTACGTCCATTATCATTAACTGTCGCAATATTTCCCAATTGTTACGACTCTGGTCATGAAAAACTTTGACAGAAAAAATTTGAAAAACTTGACAAACCATTTAGTTATCAAAGTTATAAATGAATATGTGAGAGGTATATTATGAAAGGAATCCGCAAAATAATCCTGAAATAGTTATATTAAACTCCAAAAGAAAAGTTAAGAAACTTAAAGGTCACATGCCAACTATGTTGTACAAACGTGAGATATTATTCGTCAATCTCCGTAAACAATCGGTAGTTTCCGCGTGCCAAACACGTATATGACTTACATTTATCCTTTCTATTCAACCTAATGATTCAAGTGTATCATTTCTCGTTGTAAATGTCTGTGATATATCTTACAATCGTGCTTTAGTACAGCATATAAGATGCACTGTGTTGCATATGGATGTAACCAAAAGAGTGATGATGGGAAAAAGAATTCTTTCTTTTTCCGAAAGACAATGTTTACCAGGAAAAAAAGTGAATGTTAGCTGTGAGATAGACTAGGGTGAGGGGATGGGAAAGATATACCATTAATGCCGGATTATAGTAAATTTAGCGAAAGACAATTTTGCCCAACTCGAAAAACAATTCGGCTCAACTTAACACTACCTTGAACAATCTCTTTTACTTAAATCTACAAGTAGATACTATGTAAGATACGTTTTAGTGATAGGTTTAAGAAAAAACTAAATTTGAAAGCATTTTGATATTCTTTCAAAGACAATAATCATATTTTGCAGTGTGCATACATATATATGAGAGAAAACACAAGAAGACATATCTTGCTTATTGTGTGAGCATAACCACTTTTAATCGCGTAATGCAAATCTGATGTAGACATAGAAATGTTGGAGTGTGGCTGGTGACCTTTAATGTTCTGGGGGGTTTTTTCGTTGTCAATATGGTGCCTTCC